TAAGCTTCACAGTCCTGATCTAAAATCTTATGCAGCTATAAAAGACAATAAGTATTAGTAGGAAAAAAAAAAAAATCAATTTCTTAGCTTTGCAACCTAAAAATACAGTGATGGTCCTATAGGGAGAGAAAAACTGCTGATTACTAGGGTTTTTTTAAGTTAAATGTGGCATATTGAAGAAACAACTTTGTTATTAGAGGTCGAAAGAATCTTTCTGGAGAGTAAACTTAGCATCTCAAGCTCAGGCTTTGGTCTGGGGGTCAGTGACTCTCTTTGTTGCTCTCCTTCTAAGATCGAACACGTTCCCAGGAAGGTGTTTCTACAGGACCTGTGCTGATGATAAGGCTCTCCTTATGACCTGATAACTTATGGATCTGGTTTTTAGCTCCAGAAAGTTTGCTAGAAATATTTAACCTTTCATGTGCTATCCCATGAGGATGAAGTTTCCTGGCATCCTGGCACAAAGTCTAGACCTTGTGTAGCCCTTCTCTGTAAGAGTAGTAGGGAAAATGATAGAGAAGTGCATTTTCTCTCCCCGTGCATGCACGAGCAATACTCCAGACTTGGTGCTCCTTGAAACAAGGGATTTAGACATCGATTCTTTGAGTCTCAAGATCCATCTGAAAGAGAGTTGATGTTGGAGATCGGGGCTGGAATCAGCTATACTCCCATCTTTCTGCAGCAGCTACCACTGGTTGGATGGTGACGGTGGGGACCATAACCAGGCATCCCAGATGCCCTGCTTGGCCATCACAGCCTGGGAGCTTTGTGTCTCCTGGAACTACTGCTGAGGCAGATAAGCCTGTGTTTCCTCAGAAAGCCACCTGTGCTTCACCAATGCAGGCCACCAGTGAGCAGTTACTTAAGATGGGCCTTTCTTCTCATGTTGGCATTCAGGCATGAAATACTGAGTTTTTTTTCTCATTTTGTGATGAACAGAAATATTGAGACACTGATTGAAGGCTGGGTTAAACCCTATTGTGTACCTATGTTGCTATGTTATTATCATGCCATGGCCTCTTTTCTAAATATTTGCTTTTCAATGATATTGTTGTCTGGAAGAGGGAGCGTGGTCTTGTCAAAGCTTTCTTTCCAAGCAGTGAATCACAAGGCAATGAGCCATGGGAAAGGTTAATCTAAAATCTGAAGGTACACTAAAAAGATGGCACTGGTGTTTATTGCATTGGCGTAGGACTGGTGCTGTAATAGCCATCTGTGGAAGATGGAAATATTCCAGCTTGTGGTAAGGACCACAATAGCACTCTTGTGAATTAATCACAGTCTGTTTGAGGCCTTCACCTCACACGTGGGATGCATTTCGTTCCTCTGAGATAGCCTACACTGAACACTGTACGCTGAGATATTGTGCAGTTCTTTCTGTACACAGCAGTCATGGACCTTCCTCATTTGTTTTTTAATTGCCGGGGAGGATTATCTTCAGGACAACAGCGTCTGAAATTCAAAATTGTGCAGTTTTTAAGCAGGCTGATGTTTCTAAAATATTTTACGCTCTCTGATATTAGATTAGTCGGAGACAAGATCTTTTGATCCTCATAAAGTTTTAATGTTATTTTGTAGCTAAGCTGTTAATAACTGGCTAGAGATTTTATAGATATATGTGTGTGGTTTCCACTGAGATTTTAAGTTGAAGAGTCATTTCTTAGACTCTTCATATCCCAGTCCAGATGTTCAAGACCTATTTTCCTATGTTCTAACAGATGGATGCCAAAAATTTAGGGAAAATTAGTGTTTCTCTCTCAATATAGTGTGTGTATATATTATACTGTATTACTGTGCTAGCAAGTAGAACGCAAAGGACTATTACTCCAATTTCTTCAGCTATTTTCTTTGCTAGCACCAGAAAGTACTTAATTCTTTTGCTCTAATGGTGAAAGTTCTCTAAGGAAACATTATTTTTTTCCTATCTCAGGTCAGTTATAAGGCAGCTGACTAGCACTAAGCCCCTCCTGATTATTTTAATGGTAGCTAAATAGTGCAGAAAAAGTGAGAAACCACAAATTCTGCTCTTGATAACATCACCTTCCTGATGTCTGCAGTAATCAGCAGCATGCTGTCCAACATATAAAGGTCTCTAAACGAGCGTTTCAATTTTCCCTTCTGACAAATAATTTTCCTTTTTTTTAAAATCCAATAATTTCAGAGATAGACTGTCAGAACTGCATCTTATTTGCATAACTTAAAAATAACATCATCTAAAGAATGATAAAACCGCATGAACATAATGCCAGATTTAGGAAAGACATTTTCACTAAAAATAAAAAAAAAACACAGAGAAATCCATGATATTTGTAATATATATGTTAGCTCTAATTTTAATGATATTCAAATTTAAGGGCATGCTTATTGTTTTCTGGAGCTGGGTCTCCACCTCAAAATGCTTTATTGTCAGAGTAAAACATTAATTACCTGATGTATGAAAAGCATCTCTAAGCATTTTGCACCTCCCAGAAATCGTAACTTTGAATTTCCTGACCCTTGAGCCTGAGATGCATCAAGCTTCTTTTAACCCATAGGAAATATTGAGTATTTTTTTGTGCATCTCTTCAAAAAGCCACAAGTGAAGCAATCACAATTCCAATCACCGTATCTTAAGTTGTTTTTCTCTGCATCATCTCCAATTTGTCTGTATATGAACAAATAGACAAACTGGAGATAAGGCAGAGAAAAGCAACAAAAATGATGTAGAGATTTAGCAAATGTGACCTGGGAGGGAAGATGAAAAGAACTGAATATATTTAATTTTGAGAAGGCTGAAAAGAGACATTCGAAGAGGCTGCAAATACAAAGAGAGAGAGGGTGGTTAATTGCTTTCCATGTCAAACAAGGATGCAGAGAGGAGTTGCAGGCGCTCTTGCAGCATGGAAGATTTGCAAAAACTTTCCATCGGCTTTCTCGAACACCAAAATAGATGTGAAGTCCCTCTCGCTGGAGATTTTTAGAAACAGAGTACATAAGCATCTTTTAGGGATATTTTGAGCGTGTTTTGCTTCTGTATAAAGCTGGACTGAGTGATGGCTTGAGAACCTCTACCCTTCAAGTCTGTGATCAACCTGTTCACAGACCCAGGAGGAAATTCTTTATTTTTCACGAAGATTTCTATTAGCTAGTCTTTTCATTTCCTCTTAGGAGTGGGCAGGAGCTCCTTTTATCTCAACTGAAAAGTGGTTTTTGATTTTTCTTCATTGCTTATTCACCTGGCATTACTGTAATATGGAAACTCACTCTTGAAGGAACAGGCACCAGCCTTCAAATCCTTAGACCCACCAAAGATTGCATAATAGATCATGGAAAAACTCAGATTCTCATCTGTACAGTAAATGCTAGCAGCTGGGTTAATTGTGAGGGTAAAGAACATCTTCCAGGGCTTCCAAGACAGCCGTGATTTTGGAGATGCTGTTTTCAGAATGCTCTAATGCCAGCTCTTTGAAAGCAGCCTTTGGCTGCCGGGTGCTACTATTTAACAGGTTTAACATTGCTAAAAATTGAGAGACCGATGCTGCTGTTCAATTTCATTCTGCACACAAGCAAACAGTTTATCATAGCCTATTCCCAGCAATTCTAATCCAATTTTTGTTATCTTGCATTGTTAAAAAAAAAAAAAAGAAAGAGAGAGAGAGAAAGACACTGTATGTCAATCTGATAAAGATCTTTAAATAACTGGTCCTTTTTTGTGATTATGTCAGTTTTATAGCAGCATTATAGAAACACGACAGGGTAACTAAAATCTGATTACGACTAAGTCCTTGCCCATTATGTGATTATTATGAACCATGACTTCTACTGGCACAATATGAATTACATGGTAATAATACAAGGGATTTCCAATATAATTAACTGAGATTAGCAGCGCTAAAGAAATCTGGGAATAATGATACAACTTTGAACAATCAGTTTTACTGTAAATGCCGGTGGCTCTGACTTCCAGGAAAGAGGCAGCTTGGGGAGGTAACTGTGACCTACCTGCTGTGGTTCCCTGTATCTCCTTTCTCTCTTTTTCTCTTCAAAACTGAATTAATTTCAACCTTGCCAGAGTCCTAGAAACTCCTTTTATACTTCTCAGTGTTTCACATGATACTGATAATACTCTGGACTGGCCAAGTTTTTCAAAAATGTCTACTCTCTATAGATACCTCCTTTAGGGAGACTCAGCTTGAGATGAGAAAGGGCTATGCTTTCCACTTACCGGAGAACAGGTCCATTTAAAACAGCTCAAACTTGAACACTTAAAGATGGAAAGTCATGAAAAATCACAGACCAGTTTGAAAGATCATAGCCAAGGTCATACTCTTTCTTTAGTTTCTGTTAGTTCTGGTAGGCAAAAGATGCCTCTTTGCACAAAAAGGCAAAACAAAACAAAAAAACCCTGAGATTTTGGAATATTAGCTGTTTAAGGAAAAGTGGATTGTGTCCAGAGAAATCTGCTCACTAGTGGATCCTTTCTCACAGAGAAAGAAAAGGTACATACGTAGCTACAGCTGTCATCTTTTGGCTTACAAATTTAAAAATAATAAAATAATAATAAATGGGAGTAACACTGCTGTACAAAAGAAGGGCTGAGACATACAGCGAGGCACTACGGGAGGGGAGAAGGCTTTATATAACTCATTAACTTTGCAGTATTTACTTTGGTACTTTTCAGTGGGAGCTCTCCCTGCAAAGCTTAAAGTGACCCTTGATTATATGCAACAGAGAATATAAAAAAAAAAAGGAGTGCTGAAATTATTTTTGTCTTTCATCCTTGAATTCAGGAAGAATAGTGCTCCCATCACTGTTTTTGGTTCTGCCCAGTGTCTCCTCTCCTCCCTCCCTCAATTTATTTATAGTTGCCAATTTTCAGATTTCACATGAGATTGCATCTCAGGATTTTTGTTAAATCCTGCACATTCCAATTTTGTGCTCCTCGTTCATTTTGCTACTGTTGTCCCCACTCAGCCTCCCCTTTCCCTTGCCATGGTGCTTGTACATCGTTAGTCTCATACCTCCAGCGCCGTCCTGAACTGCCCCGCTGCCACCGCATACTTCTTCTGCCTGTAGCAGGCGCTGGCATCTCTCAAAGTTACCTCGAGCCATTTGTCAATCTGGGGCAAATTAGGTGCACTTGGAGCATTTGCTTTTTCAGGATTGTGACAGGCTGCTTGGGCGCATGTGGACACCGCAGGCTCCACAAACTCATAGGCAATGTCCTCCTCATCGAGGTAGACCAACGTTGCTTCCACATCCATTAGGCTCTTCAGAGGAATGTGAGCTAGAGGCTCTGGGACTAACTGATCATCGGTCTCTAGCACTGCCCCTTCTTTTTTCGCAGCTAGCTTTCCTTCATTTTTTAGTTTCCAGATAGAGCTTGCTCTGTTTACATCACTACGGCGTTTCCTCTTCTTCCTCTCTGCCATTTTGGTTCTCTCTGTTCTGTTTTCTCCTTCTTTGTCCCCAAGATGCTTTTTAACCTTTTGCACTGCTTCTGGGATATCATTCAATTTGTCCTCTGCTGCATTTGGCTCCTTGCTAGTATGTATCTGCTGAGAGGTATCTTTCTGGCCACCCATATTTCTGAGTGTTTTTTGGGAGTCTGTGCTGCTTGCTGATTCCATAACTTGAGCAATAAAGAATAAAAGAGTCCTAGAAGAAAATGCAGAAAAATTAAGAAATTTCACATGCTGTAAAGTCAAAAAGCACTGTAAATACTGTCTCCACTAGACCTGGAGTTGCCACTGTTATAATTGAAAGCTCTTCCATAGCGTTCAATATTACATAGAACATCAAGCTCACCACGGCTGCTTTCTCTTTACTGTGTAAAGATTTATGGTATCTTGGGTGTTTTTGATAGCTCTTGATAAAGTTTGTTTATTTAGAGTAATACCAGTATGTTACATGGTTATATCTGAAACAAGAAAGGAAGAATCTAGCTTTTAATGGAAAAAAAAAAAAAACCCAAAACAGCAATAACCCTATGACTGATTGACTACCCCTGTGTGTTTTTATGGGCTGCAGAAAATCACTGTGGCCTGATTTCCAAGAGCTGCTCAGCACCTTCACTGCGCTCTGCTGGAGTGCTCAAGGTGGGCTCCCAGGCCAAGCAGCACGCAAGAAAATTCAGATTTGGGCTTGGCTTTTGAAGCCATTTCTTGCAATCTCTTTGCAAGTCACACTGTGGGTAGAGGAAGTTAACAGCCTGATTCTCTTTTCTAATTCAAGGAAATTCAGGCTTCAAAGAACATGAAGATGCAGGTTGGAGCTCAAGATCAGGTGCCCTGTGCATCTCATGCATGGAGAGCTCAGATTCAACACAAATTTCAATTCCCACCTGCCTCTGCTGGCTTCACTGTGAAATGATGGGAGGCAGAGTGATTTTCCTCTTAGTTTTCCCATTCATTATGAAAAGTTAATTGTAAATCACTTGAATGATGACCGTCTCTCAGAATGGCTTGTTAAGCTTTAGGGTCCAGCCTTTAACCTTGTGCTTTGTTTAATGGACCTCCTCACATTTATCACCACTGTAATTTGCTTACTCGGATACAAGAAAGACACATAATAATGCAGTGTTTGGTGTAGTCATAAACCTATTGGAACAACAACTTTGTTGAGTTTTAGCAAAACTTTGAGTTTGAGTTTTATGCTCAGAGTATGCATAAAGTACTCATAAAAGCTACCAGAATCACACAAGGGAACAAAATATGAAACAGTGAAGCATCTTTACAGTTCAGGGCAATCAACATTAGGCTATGGGAAAGAGACAGGAAAAAAAAGATGGATAAATGAAAGGGATTGTGATACTTCAGAAATTTTGCAATAATGGATTTGTGTCCTCAGGGTTCTTTGTAACCTCTTGGTTTTGACATCTGTTCACATCCTCTGGGCTGAAATCTCTAATCCGGGAGAAGTAAAGAGGAATAAGACTAACACAAACGTCCTTCCACGAACGCAGCAGAAGGTGTGAAAGGCGAGGCGACAATCGTGTGATTTAAGGTAATTTCAGAGGACTTTCTTGCGCGGGGTGCCAAGTGCTCACCGCTCCTATGGAGCTCTGCAGGGAGGGCAGAGCGCTGGCCCCGCTCCCAGAGGGAGCCAAGGAACCGTGTTTATAGCAAACTGCTTGGAATGGCAGCAGCAAAGCAGCTGGAGAAGGCCAATGTACTTACACCCGGCAGCAATTTTACCTGTTTTTTAGGACACTCAGTCCCTTTAAAAACACTATGGAATAGCCTGAAAGCTTCATTTTTTGGTGCTGGCCTCAGCACACAGTAGTTTTGGAGGTGGTGGTACCTCATCATTGCGTACGGTGCATCGTGCGCTGCGGAGGTACCACCTCAGAGATGCTGCAATAGGAACTTGGCTGCACTAACATGAATGCCAGGATATTGTCCTAGCAAGTTTAAAATAATTTACCATTGCAATGAAAGAAAGCAGAGCACAAACTGTAAAGCACTGACCAATAGCTGCTAAATCACCCACAGACATTTCTCCACTGGACCAGCACCTGAAATGACTTGCAGTGTCGAATGGATTTTTTTGCACAGCCTCTATTGTATTTTGAGGTGCTCAAGCTGATTGACATGACTTTGGGTTGTACAATGGGAGCATGTTATAACACAGGTAGGGCTATGCTTTAATCACTATCTCAATAAAAGAACAAAAACACTTATAGGGAAAAGCTTTTAGCAAATCATTATCTTAGCTAAGTATTTTTCTAAGACTTTTGTTAAAGCATCTTTTTAGTTTAGGAGCATTTACTGTAAAATGCTTCTGATGAATCACTATACATAGATAGGTGATAGGAATATAGATAGACAATTTAGCACTGTAGTCAGAAGGCAATTGCTCTGAATTTGTGAGCTCTCTATAATGATCTCTATAATGATCTTCCTGAGCAGTTGCAAGCACTTCCAGCTCTCTGTGTATGTAAGAGTTAATCTTTGCCAAGAAACCTCTGTCCGCAGAACTATCAGGTAGTACAGCTACATTTTGCTGAGCTTATCACTAAGGAAACAACAGTTCTTCAAACAGAGAAGCTTACAGGAATAAAAAAAAAAAAAAAAAGACATGCAAAAAGAAAAGTATAAGATCATTTATCATTTTAAATTCCAGTTTTATCTCTTAATTTCCCAACATTGCTAAGAAACTCCTTCCCAGGGAAAGTGGCCTGCCTACTCAGTAATGTCAACTTCCTTATGTTCATGGATCTTATGAACCCTCTTACTTATGCTTTTTGTTCTGTATCTAGTTTGATTCTGCTTTCAACACCTTCTCCTATTATCTCAGATCAGATTAAAAAAGAACCCGCTGATAAATCACACTGGCACTTTGGCTGGCACCTGGTTGTTAAATTTTTCTGCCAGTTCTTTGATGAGCGTTTTCTTAAGAACCTAAACTTTGATTTCCACCAAAAATAATGTAAAAAAAGCTCTTGCCCTGATAGTCGTGAAGCTGAACCTTTCTAAGCTGAGCGTAAGAGCCTGCTCTCTCCCTGGCTCTGCATGCAGCGCGGCAGAAACAAGGGGCTGCATTCAGCACTGATTTCCGTGCAAGGGCAGGAGCGAGGAATGTGCCCCAGTTATTCTCAGAGGGGATTAAGCTGCCTTGAAACTGGGCAATTACACTGGTGTTAATAGTTCGTTTGGACGTGAATTCTTTGGGTCTGAGCCTCAGAAAGAAGTTTCCTGAATTCACTAAAATCTTTCAGTGTATATAAGCATTTTTTTTTTTCTGAGGCTCACAGTTGCCATTTGAGGCTGTGGAGGGAGAAGCATTCTCAAGAAGAGATTGCATCCCAGAGGGATCTCTCTGTACGGTCATAGCTGGAAGATGGCACAGATTGCAGCTCCGAGTGAGCAATCGGAAGCAGTGATCCAGCTCTCTGATTCCCTGGTCTTGGTCTAATGGCCTGCAGGATTAAGAGCATGGTACAGCAGTGGGGAAGTGAAAAGGGTCTCGAGAATTAAGTTCCTTGTTCTGAACCAGCTTCCTGTCCCTGACCATTTGGCAGCAATCAAAGCGGGTCCATGCTCTGACATTGAATACAGCCTATACCTTGCTAAAAGTCAGAGACAAATTACTCATTAGATTTGGCGATGAACATAACTCCCATTCCAGTTCTGGTCAGAAGAGCAGAGATTTGTTGCTGCTGCTGTGCACATTTTTTCATTTGCTTTCCCTTCCTCTGCAGCACAAGGTCAAGCTGCCTCCTTGGGATAATCTGGTTGTTTCAGAAGCTACAGTCATTAGTGGGTAGCTACAGTTCATTTCAGTCCAAATGTAAAAACAGTCAAAACTGCATCCAAAGCAATGGAATAAACGTAAGAAAGTTATACCATGGGCACTTGTACAAGTGTTATCCTCCTTCTTCTGTTGCCAGCATTTTCTTTTTCCAGCACAGACAAATATATTACTATAGCAAAACATCCAAAGCCCCACAGCAGACAGGCCGTTAGGTGCCCTCCTCTGTAATAATTTCATTTATACTGAATTCCAGCTACTCTGATCTATCTCTGAGGTGAGGATGCTCCAGTTTTATCACTTAGAAATGAAGTAAGATATATCTGTATTAGATTTAGGGCCAGACTTTCTGAATGAGCATGTGCAGAGGCAACAGCTATGTTGAGATTCGAACTAGAGATTTTTCCAGCCCATCTTTCAATGAGATGACTTTTAAGCATTTCCTTTACAGCTGAACACCACAAAGGCTCAGACAATCTATTGATGACGAAGGTCAGCACCTTCTTAGCAGCCCATAAAGTGAGTCTCTCACAATCAGGTTTCAGACTTTTTAAGATTCTAGCCATTTCTTTAGGCAATGAAGCAACCCAGTTCTTTTATCTCGCTATTTTTATTGTTTGAAAGCCTGAGTCACATCTGATCTTTTTTATTTTTAGTTTTCTTTTGGAAAAAAAAACCCTTAATGTATCCTTTTTTTTGTTCAGGTACTCTTATTTCTTTGTGATAGACATAAGTAATGGCTCATTCAGTGCAAAATCAGGACTCCTTACATTTTTCTTGCTGTGATAAGGGCACACTTGCCATTGGCATTGTCCACGTTTCTGCAGTAAAGATTTTGGCAGTAATTCCACCCTAAACACTATTTTCACTCACTATATTTAACCTGCTTATAAAAAATAATAATAATAAATTGTGCTCTGGGCTAAAATTTGGCATGAGGAATAGCGTTTTTCTTAGAGTAGTTTGCAGGGATTTAACCATATTATCCTAATTGCTCTTTGAGGCCATAACTCATAATTGGTTGTTTGTACAGTGCCAAGTACAACAGGACACTAATCTCATTAGCCTATAGGCATAAGAGAAATACTAAACTGTACTAATAATTATTCTTTGCACTTATCATAAGGCTAGATCGCAGGCTTAGACTTTCTGTTCAAAATAACACAAGTCCAATTTCTATTATATATAGTAGCCTATGAAAATTATCTGAAGTTGAAGCTAATATGGCAGAAACAACCACAACGTAAGAAACAACTTCTAGTTAAAATGCTTAATGTGCCTTTAAGGCTAATGGGTAAAAATGTATGGGAAATACAATTAAAATAATTCAGAAAAAAATTGGAAAGATTTGTTAGCAATGTGGTGCCTGGAGAGTCAG